ACCCGACCGAAGTTTGGAGAATTTTTTTTAAAAAATACACATGAACCGCAAATTGTCCAACATTGCCCTTTGGAATTGTATAAGTTTAAATCAAAATACACACTCTGTGCAAATGAGAAGAATGGACAAGTTGCGGCTCGATGTAAACAATGTCGTTGAAAACTGGTATGCATATGAATAACAATAGAAATGTGACAAAACTGTTAGACCCCTGTCGCAAAAACCAGTGTCGCTCGGCATTATTTAATATTTTCATGTGATATAATATATCAAACCCTGCTCTTAAGATGTTGTTTAATAATTCTGATTCAAAAAGTTTATAAATTTCGGAAATTTATTATTGGCAAAGCACCGGGATCCAACTCTCATAGCTTAAGTGCACTGATCCTTCTTTTACATGTCAACATTACCGTTTTTTAGCATTTGCAAACAAGGTCATTGTATCGATGATATAATTTCCAAAATGTTGACTTAACGTAAGTAAGTTGATACCCTTTTATCATTAACTTATTTGTTAGTAGTCTGTCTTGCTTTAGATATTGCTCATACGTAGGGCATGCCTTTGCCTTTCGAGTCTACTGGAAGACATAAACTCCATATCCAGGTGGTAATGGTTTTGTTTTGTTTGTTTGTTGTTGTTTAACGTCTCTCTCGAGAATTTTTCATTCATATGGAGACGCCACCACTTGCCGGTGGAGATCTGCAAATTTTGACCTATGCTCGGCCCTCAGGGCCATTGAGCAGTGAGGGATCTTTTTCGTGGCAGCACATACTGCGACACGGGACCTCGGTTTATACAGTCTCATCCGAAGGACCGGTCTCCACGTCCCACAGTGGGATTCGAACCCGCGACGTAAGGATCAACTCCTTACTCCGCGACTCTAGAGCAAACGCTCTAACCACTGCGCCACACGGGCGACAGGTGGTAATGGTATACTGCTTTATAAATAAGAAGAGGACGATAGAAAAGTTGGTCATCACGTTCATCATAAATTTAGTACATTGCTGCTCTCAAGTTGTACATGTATAATGACACAAACAGTGATGTAAAGTGTAAGAATTAGTTCCCATTTCATATTCTTGCACAGTGACAAACTTCAGAGTGTGTTCATAGGAGGAAAGGGTGGTGGCGAATATTTTAGATTTGCAATAGATTTCAACTAAGAAATTAAAATATATTGAAATGCATTAAAATTATTTTACTTTAATATATTCTTTTGCTCGTGATATGAAGGTCACTTCCTTGAGATTCAAGGTCAAGTCAATAGTGTCAAGAGGACATCAGCCTGGTTACAATTGAGGAAGGGGAGGCAACTGTTTTAATTTTGAAAACACCTAGTTATCATAAAAAATATTTTAAATTGTACATATATGTATCTACTACCGGCCAGTATATTGCTTTGCAATCACCTTTACACATGTAGATACATTTAAACTTGTCTAGAATCCGCACAGCACTGTTCCATAGAGATTGGCCAGATTAGGAAACATTTTAAACAATTGAATTTGCTGAAAGGAAATAAAGTTAACATCGTATTAGGCAAGATTTCATAATAAACAACATCCAGATTAGACAAGTCTCACTGTACTCACACAGACTAGATATCAAAATCAGGAGTCAATTCAAAAGTTAAAATACAATAATTTATTTTTCTCTCTTTTTTTAAACACTCATATTAACAGTAATACACTCTGACAATGTTTAATTTAAAATGCTTGGAAATGACAAGGAATATGTTAAGGTGCAATTAATACTGCTTTTTGGCTTAAAATTTTCACAATAATTATGCCAGTGCTACTGGTATATAAACAGATAAATACTATATTTAATTGAAGAACTAAATAATTCTGAAATGACCTTAAAAGTAAGATGTATTTCACAAACTGAACAATTGGCAATGACTTTAATTTACTGAAAAATCATAATGTGAACAATGATTATGAAACAGAGAAGAAATTGTCTTTGTATTTGCTTTCAAATTAGAAAATATTTCAGGTGCATTTGCCAGCTCTATCCCATTTGGTGAATAAAAAATGTTAAGTATAAAATATTCAGAAATAACAAATTAATTTAAAACAAAGTTAAGGAAATCTAAGTTGACACAGATGTACAAAAAAGATAGCCATCAATTTAATATAAATTCACTAATTAAATATCTCTCACAAACTTGATGACACATTCAACACTTGAACATCCAAATATGGAGAGAAAGAAGAAATCAGGAATGCATAAGAGAAAAACTATTATATGTACATTGCATCAAACCACTGCTTCAATTTAAATGTAGCTGCACATCTGTAACTCAAATAACTTCATCACTTATTTTCTTCCAAACCTGTCAGCTACAGATATGTATCTAATTTCACTTAAGATACTAGCCAAAAAAAAAAAAAAAAATAATAAAATAAAATAAACCAATGCCTTGTATAATTATGAATTTTCTAAGCTTAAAAAGCCATTTCTTTCCATCAAAAGTTGTATCATAATTCATTGTAGATGTATATTTATATTAAAATACTGGCAATATGATTCACAAAAATTTTGAATCCTAAAAATAAGTAAGGTTTTAAAATATGTTCATTGCAGATGCATGTTGATAAAAGAAATTTGTGGTGTTAAGTTGGTGCAACAAAATCAATGCTTCAACATTTGGCATTCACATTGGCCTTTGAACTCTGAAACAGGACCTTGAACTTCATCAGGTAAAAATTAACCTTGACCTTTCAAGTCTCTTACTTGTCTATTTTAAGAGCCAAAATTATATACAACATATAAACAAACAAACTTTAATATACTCAATCTTTGATTCTGTGGTCATAAAGACATGAATAACAATAATTATATGTAACCTAGCTAATACAAAAAAAATGTTTTGAGCAATTCAAAATGTTGAGCTATTCCATCTTCTAATGTGTCTCAAACAACAGATTGTCAATCAGAAGTTGAATTTAAGGGTAAGATCATAGTAAGTATTTGAAGGGTAGTACCAACAGATTCCTACTGAAAATTTCAATAAAAAATTCTGATAACAAAAATAGTCAATTAGATGATCAAATCAAAAAAAAAAAGTCATGAAAAAAGGTTTTTTGATGTTTTTTTTCCCCAATGAATTATAAAAGAAAAAAACAACCTATGATAACATTTTTTTTCACAATCAAACAAATTAAATAATTCTATTCTTGCCTTCAAGTTTTCATATGCTGTTAAAAACTGATATTCCTATTGAATTTTACATTACATTGTAGATACATGTATTAGGATTAGATTTTAAATACTGTAAATCAACTATTACATGTATTTGCATTATCTTTTATTCGCGAATCATCAGTTTGAAATCAATCTGCAACAATTACTTTTCACAACTAAGGAAACATTCTCTACAAATACAAAGCAGAGTGATTACTATAGAGCAACCTTGTGGAGCCCTATAATTAGAAATCATGTCTTTGTTATACTTGATTATTTTTAAATCAAAGATTTATAGGATTGAAGCGATGTCTTTTTTGAAAAAAAAATTAAGAATAGGGCCCGAGAGATAAAGCGAGATTAAGAACACTTGTGAATCTCCGTTATTTATGTCTCTGATGTGAGTGCATCCTAAAATAAAATTTACTAGATCTGTCCCTTAATTAAAATACACATAGCGGTCAATCTTAAAGTTTACACAGTAAAAATCCTTTACAGTGAACACAACAGATTATCACAATCATATAACATAGATAACAAAGATATTTTTACCTGTATAAATCTATGTACATGTGTAAAAATTACTAAATAATGAATAAGTATAACTTTACTTATATTCAATACAATGTAAAACATGCTATCCACCCTGAGAATATTGCATGAGGACAACAGTTTATACATGTACAAATATAACTATAGAACATCAACATCTCAGAACATTAAACAGATATCTCATATGCTGTACTTGTGGATATTTATAAATGCTGTTAATTACATGTACATGTAGTATGATTCTGTTTTACCATTGGCTGCCCCTTTATCACTGTGTAACACTATTCTGTTTTACCGTTGGCTGCCCCTTTATCACTGTGTAACACTATTCTGTTTTACCAGTGGCTGCCCCTTTATCACTGTGTAACACTATTCTGTTTTACCAGTGGCTGCCCCTTTATTACTGTGTAACACTATTCTGTTTTACCGTTGGCTGCCCCTTTATCACTGTGTAACACTATTCTGTTTTACCATTGGCTGCCCCTTTATCACTGTGTAACACTATTCTGTTTTACCAGTGGCTGCCCCTTTATCACTGTGTAACACTATTCTGTTTTACCGTTGGCTGCCCCTTTATCACTGTGTAACACTATTCTGTTTTACCATTGGCTGCCCCTTTATCACTGTGTAACACTATTCTGTTTTACCATTGGCTGCCCCTTTATTACTGTGTAACACTATTCTGTTTTACCGTTGGCTGCCCCTTTATCACTGTGTAACACTATTCTGTTTTACCAGTGGCTGCCCCTTTATCACTGTGTAACACTATTCTGTTTTACCATTAGCTGCCCCTTTATCACTGTGTAACACTATTCTGTTTTACCATTGGCTGCCCCTTTATCACTGTGTAACCCTATGATTCTGTTTTACCCTGTTGCATTATGACTAGAAAATTAATACTCTAAAGGTAATTGACAAAGTAAACTACTCATTAAATGGAATTCTTTGATAAAAAGCACTAAATAACGCAATTCCCTGAGATAGTTATGATCAAAACATCAAGCAATACATTGCCCTGAAATACAATGTACAATACAATAAAAATTACAATAAAGACTTCCAATCGTTCTCTATACATGTAAAATGTATATATATATAAATATTCATATGTAAAAAAAAAAAAAATTCTGTAAAAAAATTCAAAGGGATGAAAATGAATTATTAAGGTTCTTCATCTGTCTGTTCACTCTTCTAAAATTTTCGCTTTATCTCTAATGATTTTTCAAAAGAAATCTAATTTATATAAATTAAAATGCTCATGATTTTAGTGTACATTGCGAGGCAATATTTGACAGAAATGGCTTTTTACCTTGACAATAGAAATAGTCATTTACCCAGTGAGAGTTATGAACCTGAATCAAATTTCTATATTCTGGGCAAGTTTTTAAACAAATCAGTGTTAAAGGTGGAGATTTTAAAAAGGAAAAACAGTGATTCATCCATTTTTCAGAGTTATCCCTCCTTAACACTACAGGAAAAGGTCACGGCACCTTAACACAAAACAATGAGCATAGAATTTTTTTCTTGTTTGGTCATGTTTCATTCATCAAACAGAAACTGTAGTAATTCAGGCAACTGCTCAATAAGAAACTTGTCCTGACAAATTTTTTTGTACACCATCAGGAACTCCTCGTTCAGGCCTCGGAGTTTGATGAAAACATCCATGATTTTGGCCAACTGTCGACCACTCCCTTCCTCATACCTCTCCTTCAGCAGGTATTGGAGGACTTTTAGCAGATTAACCTGAATTTTGTCAACTGCCTCCGGGTTTTCTAGGGAACAGCGATCTACAAAAATAAAACTGCATTATAAGTTACCTGATTCTATCACTTGTAAGAACTGAAAGTAGAACTACATTTTCAAAGGTCTGGGAAAAAAAATCTGTGAAATTTCAATTAACAACTTATTGTAAGGTGACAATTCTTCTTATACCTGGATGGATTTGGACTGCAGCACGTGATGAAAAAAAAACTCACAGTGCTAATTGATGTTTGAACTTTCTAAATCACATGTAGGTTATGACGCAAATATGTGGTATGCCTCAAAATAAGTACATTAATCATTTAAGGTAATTCAGACCTAAAATTCTATGCCTAGAAAATGAGAAAGAAAATAATTAAGACTGTATGAAATAAAACAAGAGGCCCATGGGCCACATCGCTCACCTGAGCACTATGGCTAGGTAAAGCAGAAATCAGTTCAGTCTTGAAAGGTTGAAAAATTTAAATATAAAAGTGGTTGGGGGGGGGGGGGGGGTTTATGAATTGAACAAATTTGAATCTACACTATCTGAGGATGCTTCCATTTAAATATTACCAATCATGGCTTTGCTGTTCTTGAGAAGAAGATTTTTTAAAGATTTTTCCTATATATTCCTATGTAAAACTTTGATCGCCCATTGTAGCCCCACCTGACCCCGGGGGTCATGATTTGAACAAACTTGAATCTACACTATCTGAGGATGCTACCATATAAATATGACCAATCATGGCTTTGCTGTTCTTGAGAAGAAGATTTTTAAAGATTTTTCCTATATATTCCTATGTAAAACTTTGATCGCCCATTGTGGCCCCACCCGACCCCCGGGGGTCATGATTTGAACAAACTTGAATCTACACTATCTGAGGATGCTTCCATATAAATATGATCAATCATGGCTTTGCTGTTCTTGAGAAGAAGATTTTTAAAGATTTTTCCTATATATTCCTATGTAAAACTTTGATCGCCTGTTGTGGCCCCACCCGACCCCCGGGGGTCATGATTTGAACAAACTTGAATCTACACTATCTGAGGATGCTACCATATAAATATGACCAATCATGGCTTTGCTGTTCTTGAGAAGAAGATTTTTAAAGATTTTTCCTATATATTCCTATGTAAAACTTTGATTGCCCATTGTGGCCCCACCTGACCCCCAGGGGTCAAGATTTGAACAAACTTGAATCTACACTACCTGAGGATGCTTCCACATAAGTTTCATATTTTCAAGCACAGTGGTTCTTGAGAAGAAGATTTTTTAATGATGCCATTAATTTTTCACGAATTCTTAATTATCTCCCCTTGAAAAAGGGCGTGGCCCTTCATTTGAACAAACTTGAATCCCCTTTACCCAAGGATACTTTGTGGCAAGTTTGGTTGAAATTGGCCCAGTGGTTCTGGAGAAGAAGTCGAAAATGTGAAAAGTTTACAGACAGACAGACAGACAGACGGACAGACGGACTACAGACAAAATGTGATCAGAAAAGCTCACTTGAGCCTTCGGCTCAGGTGAGCTAAAAAAATAAAAATGCACTAGAATTGTAATCATCATATTTTATTATGCAAATAAATTTGTTCATAACCCAAACTGTAGCAAAATTCTCAGCTAACCTTTGAACTTTTCGATGACGTTACATAATGCATGGTCATGTCACTAAAGTTGATAATTAATATGCAGTATGCCTATACAGCGATTCAAAACCAAGTCAATATTAGAAGAGTTAGAGAGAAAGACAGTTAAAAAAAATTAAATGTCCTAATATTGAAAATACAGTCAAACCTCATTATCTTAACCTCAATTGGAAAAGAAAAAAATAACTTTGTGATATCAAGTGATTTGAGATATCAAGGTCAAAATTTACAAGAGGCCCATGGGCCATATCGCTCACCTGAGCAGTGGCTAGGAAAAAAGCAGAAATTAGTTCAGTTTTAAAAAGTATAAATGCATTTATAATTGGCCCTCACCTACCCCTAAAAAAAGGGGGGGGGGGGTATGATTTGAACAAACTTGAATCTACCCTAAGGATGCTTACACATTTCTTTGCTGAACTGTGGCTTTTTTCCTATAAGTTTGCACTTTCAATGTGGTCCCACCCTATCCCTGGGGGTCATGATTTAAACAAATCTGAATCCACACTACCTGAGGATGCTTCCATATAACTAATCATGGCTTTGCTGTTCTTGAGAAGATTTTAAAAAAAAAATTCCTATGTACAACTTTGCTCGTCCATTGTGGCCCACCCTACCCCTCAGGGGTCATGGTTTGAACAAACTGGAATCTACACTACCTGAGGATGCTTCCAAATAGATAATGACCAATCATGGCTTTGCTGTTTTTTCCTAAATACTCCTAATATGTAAAACTTTGCTCATCCATTGTGGCCCCACCCTACCCCCCAGGGGTAATAATTTGAACAAACTTGAATTTACACTACCTGAGGATGCATCCATATAAATATGACCAATCTTAGCTTTGTTGTTGTTGAGAACAAAATTCTTAAAGATTTTTCCTATATAGTCCTATGTTAAACTTTGATCGTCCATTGTGGCCCCACCCTACCCCCGGGGGTCATGATTTGAACAAACTGGAATGGACACTATCTGAGAATGCTACCTTATAAATATGAACAATCATAGCTTTGTTGTTCTTGAGAAGAAGATTTTTAAAAGATTTTTTCCTATATATTCCTGTGTGTAACTCTGCTCATCCATTGTGGCCCCAACCTACCCCCCGGGGTCATGATTTGAACAAATCTGAATCTACACTACCTGAGGATGCTTCCATATAAAAATGACCAATTATGACTCTGCTATTCTTAAGAAGAAGACTTATAAAGATTTTTCCTATATATTCTTATGTAAAACTTTGATCGTCCATTGTGGCCCCACCCTACCCCCAGGGGTTATGATTTGAACAAACTTGAATCTACACTACCTGAGGCTGATTCCACACAAGTTTCATCTTTTCTGGCCTAGTGGTTCATGAGAAGAAGATTTTTAAAAGATGCCATTAATTTTTACTAATTTGTAATTATCTCCCCTTGAAAGTGGGTGTGGCCTTTTATTTGAACAAACTTGAATCCCCTTCACCTAAGGATACTTTGTGCCAAGTTTGGTTGAAATTGGCCCAGTGGTTCTGGAGAAGAAGATGAAATTGTAAAAAGTTTACAATGACGCCGACAAAAACAACGACAATGACAGAAAACGGACAAATTTCGATCAGAAAAGCTCACTTGAGCCTTCGGCTCAGGTGAGTTAATAAGAAAAGGTGGATTGGCTCCCATCTCACTTTGACATATCCATGGAATTTGAGATATCGAAGTTTGAAATACTGAAGTTCAAGTGTATATACATGTATACACTGTTGTATCTCAGGGGAAAACAAAAGACACACAAACCTGTAAATGTCAGACAGATGGCCAACATGGCGGCATGCTCCTTGGGTTGAAGTTGAAGACGGCGAATGTCACATGACACTTCTAGCCATGATGTAGACATGCCCTCGGGGGCGTAGGCACAGAACTGCCTGATGGGAAGGACGTGTCCAGTGTATGAGACCATCATTCCCGTCTCTGGGTCCAAAGTTCTATAGCACAGCATCAGGAAGAATTCAAGTCTGGCAGCTAAAAGATGGATTAAAAACAAGTTTAAAATATCATGGACATGCTTTATATAAACTGTAAGCTCAGGATTGCATCTCTAACCTTTGATCATTTAAAGACTAAGCATGAAAATAAATCTTGATCAAATTCGGTATGAAAATAACTTCTCAAAAAGAACCTTTCTTTTATTAGTTATAGTGTGCAGGGTTGTACTTAAGAATTGAAATACAAGGGGACTTAAAAAAGTACAAGGGGGGTCTGGGATTCCTCCCCTAACAATGTGAACAGTGTGTGCCAAAAACTTTTTTCAGCACCAGCCCAATGGGGGTTTTCTGTTATGGCAAAAAGTTACTAGCCTGAAAAACTTTTTTATAGCCCCCCAAAAGTGTGAAAAATAAAATGACACAATTTTATTTTATTTCAGTCCTTTTGATTATTGTTTTAATTCATGCTGCTTATTATCTTCAGTGACAGTCTCTGTACTATAAACTTTTTTTAAAACAGCTCTTCCCTAATTTGCATATGCATTTGGTTTGGTGAATTATTAAAATTTACATCCACTGAATATTTTCTTCCTTATTTCTTTAGAAAACCATTGTTGTTTATCAGCCAGTAAACACTGCTATGCATTTCACCTGTACAGATTTACTGAGCAGTGGCTGTTCCATCAATGAAACGTACAATGACATACATATTAATAATACAATATTTAATGTACTTAATACTACTTTACATAATTATTTGCACAGATATAAATATAAACAATAAAATGCCTTTCTTTGGTTGTCAATACGGAATTAAAGTTGCAGCTATTGCAGAAAAAATTACAACCCCATTTTTCTGCAACATCTGCAACATTAATTCCCCTTTTACATGTAACAACCAAAGAAAGCATTTTATTGTTTAATTAACACAAACCAAGCATGACAGCAAAAAAACCTACAGGGACATGAAAATCATCAAGAAAGTCATAAATCTTTCATAATCAAGATTTTTTTTTAGATGAAAATGTTTGATATTGAAAGAATACCGAGAAATAGTCTACATAACTATTATTGAAAATTCTAAAGTCTGATTGGGCTAGTGCCAATCTAATTTTACTAGTAGCCCAACCAAATTTCTACAATTGTTCAGGTATCAGGCTAATCCTTTTGGTGCACACTGTATGAATGCCTTTTGTTGCCAATAAATGATTAACAGTACTTCTATAGTGTTACAAAAATCAATGGCAAATAAATTGTTAACTCTAACCCTTCAGTAGCCCTGCTTGATCCTTCGCAGGTAGGTCTTTGAATGCTGGGATACCATGAGTAAAGCGTACATATTCGTGGATAACAGTGACCAGTTCTGTCCGAATTAGCTCTAGAATTTTCGTTCGTCCGTCGATATCCATATTGGTGACATTGAAGATTTCGTTGTAGATGTTAGCGGGCAGAGGATCCATGTTACCAAATAGTTGTATTTTCTGGTTATATTTCACCTACAAGTGAAGTTATAATGTACAGCTATGTTTTTATAACATATGTTCAGTAAAATAAGCTTATCAGGAAGTGCCAGAGATGAACAATTTTGATCCCTATAGTGATACACACAATTTGATTTAATCATAAATTCATTATAAATGGGTTTGCTATATAATAACTGTACTTTATTATATACCCAACTGTGTATCACTCAATTTTACTGAAAGTTGATTTCACTCAATGACATCATGGTGTGATCCAATTTTCTAATCCATATCACTGATACTAATGACGTAGTACACAGTATACATGACGTTTTTTCTTGTGTATCAAAAAGTTCCTTGAGAAAATGTTTTGTTTTAATTAATGGACAAAAGTTGTAAAATTGATCCCCAAAATTTTCTTTTTATATTTTACTAATTATAGAGGGGTATATAATAAAGAACGAGTGCACTTATGGGCCCAGGTCAAATGTGAAAAAATATAGAATCAAATTGAGCATAATTTTTCATCTCAGATCATTAATTGATATCTAAACCATGAGATTCAACAAATTTTATCGCTGAAATTCATGAATATACAAAGAGCAAAGCCAAACAATGTGGTAGGGGTCAGCCGACATTCGTGATTTTCTATAGTAAATCGAGGACGGTCATTCATTTCAAAACTTTTGTTTACTGTCAGCCTAACGTTGTACAAACTTGTGCGAATGACAAAAAATGCATTATACATTTATAAAGCTTGTGTGAAAGTAGGAAATTTGTACAAGATTAGTCTTGTACTTAAAATATTAAAAATGTATGAAAAGTTCAATGTTTTCCTATAGCAAGCAAGAGCTATTTACCTGACAGTGTATGACCTATGTTGAACCCACCCGTGGAATAAATTATTTAAAATACCGGTAGTCACTTGAGTACTACCCAGGTAAACATTCCTCAAAGGTGCTCACTGTAAAAGATAGCCACGTTTTGTATCATTAAATTGAAGTCGTGCCGAATAGAGAAGTTTGTATGTATTTGGTTTTAGGAACACGGGAGGGTTAGGAGGGTTTAGTGTCGTTAAAATGTCATCATACTTAAAGCGTCAAACATTTTTAACATCCATGCAAGACAATGGTACCGGTTTTGAAAGCCACCTAAATACACTTTTTTTCAATTTAAAATTTAAAGGAACTAATGTTAATACTCATTGTATTATTAGTCCCCTACCGGTGAAACTGGAGGGGACTATAGGTTTCTTCTGAGTCTGTCCGTCCGTCTGTCTGTCTGTCCGTCTGTCCCTCTGTCTGTCTGTCAGTCTGTCCCACTTGGTTTTCCGCACTTTTTTCCTAAACGCTTGCAGATATTGAGCTGATTTTTGGTACGTGAGAGTATCTTGATGAGTTACAGATCAAGTTTGCATTTCGTTCCGCTTCATTGATTTTTGACGGAATTACGGCCTTTTCAATTTTTACGGGTTTTCCGCAATTTTCTTCTAAACGCTTGTAGATATTGAGCTGATTTTTGGTATGTGGCTTTACCTTGATTAGTTATAGATCAAGTTTGCATTTCTTCCCGCTTCATTAATTTTTGACGGAATTATGGCATTTTCAATTCTTAATGGGAACCAGATTACACTTGCCGGTAGGGGACTAGTATTGCTAATGCAATACTCTCAGAATGCTTGTTTCAAATGCAAGCGTGCAAATTTCTTAGTTTGATCACTATGGCTACAGACACGATTTTTTAAAGGTAAAATAGCGCAAGAAGTATCATTCAGCAAACGCGCCCATCAATGATCCACCATCAGATTGTTTTTATAAGTGTCCGATTTAAATGTCTCCTCCCCTTGATTTAAAAAAACGAAACTCAAAATAGGTTCGGTACGACTTTCCAGATTTGGGGTATCTATAGGCATTTAAAAATCTTCATTTGTTTCAAATCCATGCTCAGCCTGATTTAGGTGATGTTTTAACGTGATTTTAATTAGAAATATCCACTTGTGTTTAACTATTACCAAAAGAGAACGATTTGGCAATATATTCTAAAGTAATACGGCACTGAAAAGGGCCCATTAAGCATTGCTTAAGTGCACTTGTCCTTTATCATTATATCAGTAACTTGATCAGAGAGCCGTATCACGTCTCGTTGACAGGCGCGGATCATCAGATCAAACTCGACGATTTACCTCTCATTTGATCTGATGATCTGTGCATGATGCCATTTGGCTCTTTGGATCAAGTTACTGTTATAATAATAATTTTTACTGTACTTGTAGAATTATTAATTTAATCTGCCACATTGAGTGGGAAAACTCTACTGTGTTAATTTAACTGTACTTTTAAATAATTAAAGCAACTGACAACTTGAAATTACAAATGAACGTGACTGCATGAACACATCTCAGGGACTATTCAGCATGAAAATGACAGAATCAAAGTACTGAAATAATGAATGCACTTTCTACAGATACTGCAATGTGTCATATGTTGAGCAAGAATGCTCTACTGTGGTAAATGTGCTAAAACATCATTAAACGTATGACTTAAGCAAAAACTTTAAAATTTCAACTTATGACTGAACAAATTTCAATATCTGATCTGTTCAACAACAACTGGACATTGATAATTTTGATACAGAAAACTCCTACTTCTTGATAACTTCTTGACAATTTAAAGTATCTTGCGTTACTTACATATCCGTCCTGCAATAAGGCATGGATTTCCTCATCCGACATATCCTTGGTGAACGGCTTCATCTCATTATATCCCCTCATCAAACTCTCCGTGAATGTCCGAATTGTCTGTTCCTCTATACCCACTGACATGTTTCCAACCATTACAGGAAGTGATGGAATGTTAATACTGGAATTCTGGAAAGGCAATGCTGTGGAATGTGAAGTGGATGCTGAGTCCTCACCGGAACTCTCTGCCTTGATTTTGGGGTTAGATGCTTGTGACTCATTTATAATTATTTTTGGATTAAAGCTGTCATTTTGAGATGAATCGGGTGAGTAATTTTCTGTGGATGGCAGAGTATGACCTTTGACATGACCTTTGACTGATATAGATCTAGATGAGGAATCGTGGGAACCAGATGAACTGGGGGATGAAGAAAGTGATTCGGATGTGGTGTCTCTTTCACACTTAATAGAATAGTTTGAGTATTGTCCCTTGCTTTTTTGATTTGATTGTGTTTCTTCCTCCTTCTTAAGTTTCCTCATCTCTATAATGGCATTTGTTCGTTCTTGAAGTGTGTATCTACCCTGACGTATACCTACCAATGTTGCAAAATAATAACAATTCAGATTTAAATACTGTACATTCAAGCACTTTTTGGTATTAATTTAAGCTATGTATGTGGTCAAAAATTTTCTGTGAAATTCCACAGAATTATGACCTCACAGAATTATAACAAGTATGTTTACAGTAAATATGAAATATTCCTTTACCTTCCCCATGCAATGAAGTTTGAGCCTAATAGAGGTGCATATTTCCCTGAAGTTTTACAAATAAAGACTGTACACTTAAGTAATCAAAGTAATGAAAGTACTGATGGGAGTTGATTTTATACTGCTTTTGATCAAAATAATCTGACTGCAACTTTATTTCTTTTCATATTATAAACATGATAAATATGGATACTTCATGTTTGGTATGAGAATTGTAAATGACAAAAGGAGGTGTCAAGACCTTAATTCAAGGTCATTTCTACAAGGTCAAAGCATTTGGGGTTCTTCAAATTTACATCTTGTGTTAAATTTCCTATTAGGGTTGACGTACCTTCCTTAGACATTCCTAGACTGAAACACTTCTGGAGACGACATCCAGAACACACGATTCCTGTGGACTTCTGAATGTCACAGTCCCCTCCCTTGGAACATTTATATGGCTCCTTCTTCTTAAGAAACCGACGAAAAAATCCCTGTTCAGTAAAAAAATTTAATTAAAACAACTGTTACTTTAATTTGCAGCATTTTTCATGACCCAAAATTACAGCTGAATAGAGACAGTTTCCCCTATTACTGGCCCTATGAAACGTGGATAATTTAATTATTTCTTTGCAAGCTATACAGGAGTTAGCATCATAAAATTACCTTTAGTTAAAAGCTTCACAGAAGTTTATACTATCACTTATTAAAAGTACCTTACAAGCTTTATTAGAGATTACATCATTACATCATCATAAAATTACCTTACAAGCTTCACAGGAGTTGACACCATAATGAATTCCTGAGGCTGGCTTCCCACATATTTTACATGGTGGTAGCTGAAGAGGAACAGTGTCTGGCATGTATTTATTTCTTTTTGCTCTCTGTCTCTTTAATCCCCCTCCCTGTTTTTCTGATTTAGACTCCACCTTTCTGTGTTCTACCCCCTCCCCTTCCTCCATCTTTTTGATTGTTAGCCACTCCTCTTGCCCCACCTTTATATGTGTTGTCTCCTCCCCTTCCTCTGCTTTGAATGCGTTAGCCCCTCCCCTTGCTCCACCTCTATATGTGTTAGCTCCTCCCCTTCCTCTCCCTTTAAATGTGCTAGCTCCTCCCCTTCCTCTGCCTTCCAATGTCTTAGCTCCTTTCCTGCCTTAAGATGTGTAAGCCCCTCCCCTTGCTCCACCTTTATATGTGTTAGCTCCTCCCCTTCCTCTGCCTTTAAATGTGTTAGCTCCTTCCCTTACTCTTTATCCCCTTGCTTCCTTTGGAAAATGGCCCACATTTTCTTCGTTGTCTGAAGTTTAATGGTCCCAGCACTTCCAGGATTTGATCTCTCTATAGACTGACGTGATAGTCTCTTACCTATACACAAATATATACAGATGAAATTTGTGTCAATTTTGGGAGCAATTTATTTTATATTGTTTAATGAATGACTTTCATAATAACTCACACACCTATGATACTGGAGATAACATTACCCAATGTCCATGTTGTCCTAGAAAATTTATACAAATTAGGCCATCTTTATAAAATATGTTTATTTGCCTTCTGTCAACTAAGGGTAAAAACAAGGTTGGTAAGTAGGAGGAAATTTTTTTCCAGAAATTTTCAACATCAATACTGATTTTCAAAATATATTAAAAATTAAAGGTATTAATAATATTTAAATAGCTGTTAATGTGATGAGAAAATTTTGGAATGAATTTAAATTAAAAAAATATCATTTCCTGCAGGTTTTAAAAAAAGGTTTGAGTTGGGCCCACCACTTGGTCGGGAGAGGCCGCTGGGCAAACATTTTTTTAAAGATGGCCTAAATGGCAACATTTTGGAGAACTGCATGCATGAATTCTCAAATTTTCAACCTGAAACATTTGTTACATTTATTTTGTTCTCTTAATTTTTAAGTAAGAATTGTTGGCAAAGACTAGTGAGCCCCCCTTTCCCTTTTGCATTCACATTCAATGTAACCCCCCCCCAATCTAAAATCAGACTTCTTAGATCCGCGCCGTATACACTCTGCTGCGTAAGACCCCCCCCCCTTTATTTAAGTCACGTAGATCTAGAAATGTAAATGGAATTTATACCCATATGCAATTTTAAATAATAGATTTTCTAAGAACAGTAATTTTGTTTTGGTAAAAAAGATACACATAAAACATTAATTCTTATATGATTCTACCATTTAATGTTACTTTCATAAAGAATGAGTGCACTTTAGAGTGTCATTTGGAGCCTTTTCGTCCACCCATTTTAAGCCTTAAATTAGACTATATTGCTAAATTAATCTATGATTATTGTGCATGCTTTTGATATTTATACTTCGAATATTTTGTTAAACATATTGCTATAATTCCACACAACGTCATTGAAAAGAACATGTATAAGCCTTAAATTCCGGAAATTTGAACTGGACCACTTTCGAATTTAAGGTACCAGCAAATGGGAGGAGATATTTAAATCGCATGGAAGTGGAATGTAAACATTTGCACATTATTTCCAGATTGATTCTACAGTATGAATTTAAATGGAGGAGAGAAAGATTGTGTAGTTTCATGATTCAAACAAATAATAAATGATTCATGGCCATACATATTGATCATTTTCACAATTCGTATCCATATGTTTGATGCCTAGCACCGAATTAGATCAATCTTAAGTTTTCGTATATGATAAAAAATGCCTTCTCTTTTTTCTTTAGCTTTATCATTTTTCGTTTTATATGCTGAATGCTTTTCAATTCAAAGAATGAATGTATGTTTTAAGAAAGAATCACATGTACATGACTTCGATGTCACACTACATTTAATCGTAATTCACTGTACATGTAGTACGTAGAGTAATACAAACGTGTAGTGAAACAAATTATACATGATTGTATGTAGTACTCACGGTGATTAGGGCTGTCACGAGTACCCGAAATAACCGAGAACCGCGGTCCAAGTTGTTCGGTTCGGTTCCATTTTTCCGGATTTCGGTTCGGGTCTGGTTTATATATTAGAGTCTGTTCAATACAAAAAATGACATCGAAATCAAAGGATTGATAACGATAACAGTGATAAATAAACATCACAATTGAAATCTACTTCATTCAAGTATTAGATAATTATCAAAACGAGCAGGAATGGTCAGGTTGTGGCTAACAGTAGGCCAAGTCATCGATGTCTAGACGTTCGCATGGTTAAGACTTGTTTTCAATGTAAATTTAATGTAACAAATAAAGATTTTTCAAGTTAAATTCATGAAATTAAGGTTTAAAATAGATGTAAATACCCGACCCGAAAATTCTACAGCGTTACTATATCAATAATCACTTGCTTATGTCTTCAATATCTCTTTCATTTTGGCAATCCAAATATTGTCAGGTATGATACTAGTGTTTAGGGATGTGTCTGTAGATGCCTGCAGACCACAGGCCAGTAGGAAGCATTTGAGTTTGGGGGGGGGGGGGGGCACAGCCATACATTTTCAGTTGAGGGGGCACTATCGACTACCAAAAATTCCTTGACAAGCAAAAAAAAAAAACAAAAAAGGTCATTAGACGTTTTTATTGAGGGGGCACAAGCGTATAGTAGCTATGTTTTCTATAGTAATCTATATATCGGCAAAATTATTGGGGAGGGCATGGCCCCCCCCCCTGGTTCCTACGGCCATGATGGACCATAATACAGAGGCGACATAAGCTAACACAGCTACATACTAATCGTGCACTTGATTTGCACTGGTAGTACCAGAATTTCCTTCAAAATACCAAACGAAAAACACAATTTAGTGAAAGAAGACAAGGTAAACTTTAAGACCCTAAAAAATTTTCGCAAAATTCTTCATTATTTTGAAGTTGTTCAGGCAGGTACAAACGGTGAGATTTGTAGTTACTGTATAATACAAGTATTATATTTGTATTATAATACTTTCCTGTACACACGTTTATACGTTTCATTAGATTGTTAATAGACTTTAGGGATTTCTGTGTGTTTCCCTCTCAATATTTCTCTCTCTCTCTCTCTCTCAAATGGAAAACGAGGTTCTGTTAGCAGTATCTGTTAGCGTATTATGCATTGCATTAAAACTGAAAAAAAAACAAAACATTGTAATGGAAACAGCAGCAGAACACTCGTATATGTACTCAGTGCACACAATGCATCGCTAGATGAGGTGCAAAGAGAAGACCCCAGTAGTTATAAAAACTTCTTTAGAATAGATAACACTGCATTTGAGCAACTTTTACAATTACATGTAGTTAAAACTGAAAAAAAACAAAACATCGTAATGGAAACAGCAGCAGAACACTCGTATATGTACTCAGTGCACACAATGCATCGCTAGATGAGGTGCAAAGAGAAGACCCCAGTAGTTATAAAAACTCTTCTTCCCATAAAACAACGAGTTTTTCGATATTTTTACCGCTAAAGTCGACCATTATTTACCACGTGCTTTTTTTTGTTATGATAAAAATAGAATGACCAGAATGTGAGTACTTTTGATTGGTTTAAAAATGAAAGGTAAGTTAAGACTTGTATTAATTAAGAAATAGAGCATTGTCCTATTCTCAATACAGTTTTATAAGATTCGAAAAATCTCAGGATTCACCGTATTAAAAGTCTATACATAGTCAGATTTTGTACTTAAATACATATCCGTGTGTACAGCCCTGAAGTCCATTGATAGACACAATGAAAGCATATCGAACAGTGGAATGTCACGTGAGTAAAGTGATTATAATATCAAACAGGTCAAAATAGGTTGACACTCGGTGACCTGTTAATTTAGTAGCTAACTTGAGCGTAGTTTGGAGAATTTTTTAAAAAATTACATATGAGTCGCAAATTGTCCAACATTGCCCTTTGGATATATGTATAAGTTTAAATCAAAATACACATTCTGTGCAAATGAGAAGAATGGACAAGTTGCGGCTCGATGTAAACAATGTCGTTGAAAACTGGTATGCATATGAATAACAATAGAAATGTGACAAAACTGCTAGACCACTGTCGCAAAAACCAGTGTCGCTCGGCATTATTTAATATTTTTATGTGATATAATATATCAAACCCTGCTCTTAAGATATTGTTTAATAATTCTGATTCAAAAAGTTTATAAATTTCGGAAATTTATTATTGGCAAAGCACCGGGATCCAACTCTCATAGCTTAAGTGCACTGATCCTTTATGATAAAGTGATGTAACATGACGGTAAACTACAGGTACCGTAAGAGAGTATTTAATGAAAAAAAATAATTTACCTGGATGTTGTTCGCATTGTCTGTGTGAGATGCACGTCCAGTGAGTCTCCCTGTGGGATGCACATGTACTGTCAGTGTAACTGACACCTTTCTAGCTTTCACCAATCTCGAGGGCCACCTGACAACATCCTTTTCTTTTTTTAACATTCAAAACCATCTGCGGTAAAATTGTGTGTTTCCGGCAGGTAACACCCAAAATATAACTTCCCCAAAACATACTCCATATTTTATAACGCCACTGAACATGAAATCAATATATAATATGTAATTGTACTAAAGAAATAGAAAATCATTCTTCTTTGAATTCTTGGATTTTTTTGCATTTTTGCTTAAAATCTGTGATCCGCACCCATCTTCTTATGAATAATTCACCGGGCCATGTTTAATTTGTTCAAGTTGAAAAAAATCATCATATAAAATGATGTGTATTTTTTCTACTCACTTACAGGTACATGGTCTCCCCTTTTCCATAGAAAAATTTACATTTTTTTAATGCTATAAGCGAATGTTTTTGTTTAATGACATATGGGGCACCTTATCAACGACACAAACTCCGATTTAGTCTGCTAATCTTGCGATTAATCGAGATTAAAAGAACCTGTGTTAAAGCTGTTTATAATTGGGATAAGATCTTCACAAAAGGTAGGTCTAGCAATAGTTCTCTATTTTAGTTAATTAATTGACAATAAGTGAATCTCATTGCTGTTTTATGCAGAATAGTATTTTTACAGCGCTTTTATATTTTGCGCGCTAAATACGATACCTCACTTGATATCTATAAAAAAATTACTCCATAGTATTTGAAAATCATCATTATGGGGAAAGGGTATGGTTGTCAGGTAGTGTATTTCTTGGATCATTCATTTATATATTGTGTACTTAATTATTTTAATAATGTTAATTTATGAGTTAACATTTAAAAAAATACTATTTAAGAATCTTAATATATACTGTTTCACGATAACTGTGATACTGCTCTTTTACAGGGCAAAATGATATATTTTGGTGAAATATGACATAAAAGTAATTGTTTTATATGTCATTAATTATCTGTCTTCAAAAACTTCACCAAAGGTTATTAATTTCCCCGCAAAAGAGTAGTACCACAGTTATCGTGAAAGGGTTAATTGAGTCAAGGTATGTTGATACTGCATTTCTTACTAATATTTGTGTTACTTAATGTTTAGTACTGTAAAATAAAAACATTGGCCTATGATATATACACGACCGTCGTGCGCATAGAAAAGAAAGTCTATTTACACGACCGTCGTGCGAATAGCTATTGCAAATTGCTGAGATATATACACGACCGTCGTGCACATAGGTAAGAAAAAAATCTATTTACACGACGGTCGTGCAAATAGCAATCGCACATTGCCAGAGATATGCACACGACGGTAATAGCTATTATGCAAAATATACACGACCGACCTGTGCGGTAACGGGATGTTTCCCACCTATGCATGGTTCGCTCCGCGATGTTTCGCGCCGATCCTGTTTTGCTACTGAGTTTAGTTCATTTTACAAAATTTTAGATTTTAAAATATATGTAAATATAGATATTTTTGGAACATTTTATTTAATTTAAGAAGATTATATTTGAGCAGAGACGTAAATTATTTATGTCTGTGTTTGAAGTGTACATACATAGCATAATTATGAATTATTATAACACTGTGCTAATTACGTATATATACAGTAGATAATTATAATACCGCCATCTAATTAAGTAATTACTGCTGGCTTGGACAACCCACACATCAACTGCAATTCTCACCTTTTGATCTCCAACTTATTACAATTAAATCCCCATTGAATCACTGTTGAATTGTTGAACAGACACGCTAAG